AAGAATTTTACCAGACTGCACATTTTTATTGATATTATATACTGTATTTGTTAYCAATAATGTATAAATATCCTTGCATTTCTTGGAAAATAATAAAAATTCCCAAACCAACAGTACAGATGACATGAAAAAAGATGTAAGAATTTATGAATGGAAAAATTTTCAAAACAAATTTTATAAAATGCCTTAATTATTTCTTACTCTTTTGGACTTGTGTGCAATCCACTCTCCTTTTCTGACATAACCAAAAGCTCCAGTTCCAAGCATTTGATGAAGAATCAAATCTTTTTCATCAATGACACAAGTTARACTAGACGAATTTGAAAGGGGTGKGTCCATTGGCGAAAGCTTGGGATGAGAAGGTTCTTCTACCTCTGAGGAAAATATCTTGGTTTTGCTTTTCTGAAAAAGAAAGAGGGTACCAAATGATTAATATTAACAAAAAAATTAAAGTTCATTCAGTGGTGTATTTTCATAAGTGATTGATAAACACAACTTCCACCTGMATTAGTGGGACTCACCTCCCCCTCTAGGGTCTAGTTAAAGAACTATAAACTTCGAAATTTTGAGGTCTTTACATGCAAGAGTTTATGAGATATTAGCATTCAAAGATGCTGAGTGGCAAAAACGCTAATTAGCTCATATAACTTCTCTAACAATTTGAGTTTTTTTAAAAAACCGTTTGACGCAAAAAGTATTTCATACGGGAAGCTCAAAATTGTGAGAAAAGCTTATTGTGTTATGTTGTTTCAATATTCAGTGCTGATTTACTTTTAGTTAGGTTAAAACATTATATGGTTATGCTAATGATATGTTAATGAACTGAAATTATTCGCCTATAGTGAAGTCAATAGACCTGTGAAATATATTACAGTGCATTAATGCCGTATTTGTATTTTCAGTTTTGTGGCATTATTTTTTATTCGACTATCACATTAGGATAGTATTTATTTTTCACAGGTTTAATGACTTCAATCTAGTGAYATKGCATAATTCACAATTATATCAAGTGCCTGATGTACATGTGCATGACAGCACAAGTGACATATACATTTTTTGATGGCRAAAACAAAGAAATCCATTGTTTCAGCAGCGAAATCAATGCATTGTGTGAGTGGATAACATCAATGCTTTGCATGCTTCAGGCACGCTACGCTGCGGCAGCAAATACACTTTAATTTCTTTCAAAGGTTTATGAAATCCACCATTTGTATTATGTAATAATGACTGTATCAATCACAACTATAAGATATACTATATCTAGCTTATGTTATCAACCTCATTATAAGAATGCAGGATCAMGAATAATCTTTATAATTGAATTACAGGGAAATGTGCCAGCAACACAGATGACCTAATTGACCTACAGATGCTCTTGATTTCTTATGCCAAAGAATGACATATATACATATTATCCCTGAAGAGATTATTTTACCATCAACAAAACAAATCTTATCAAATTTCAAGATTTATTTGGTGATAACTGCAACAAATCCATTTTTTTCTAAAAAAAAAATCTGTTTACATAAAAACTGTAGAATGATGACTTTGAACATAAAGTGTGTCAATAGCATTATAGGTTGGCTGCAGGTTTTACCTCCTCATCAATAGATTAAGCAAAGTGGTATCAATGATAGGACTGATGATATTTTTACATTTATTACATTTTTGCTCTACTTATCTTATAGAATACTTTATATCAAAAGGCAGACATGCTACTAAGACATGTATCATTCATGACTCAAAGTTCCACAGTTATACACAGATCTTCTAAGTTAACAAACTATATCAGAACTTTGTAAAGCTTAAAAGCAAGTATTTTGTATCTAAATTCAAGAGGATTAATGCACAAATGTATGATCTCTAGGACGGAATCATTGCATCATGAATTGTATTTTAATTTTATAAACTCCAAAATCCATTGTCTGAGCAACAATAATTCCTGTATCTGGTCACTGTGTATTGCTTACATTTTAAATGGCAAAAAGTTACATATCTGAAGCAATAAATACACCCACAAGTTGTTAAATTATTATTCCATACTCTAAATAATACCTGCTGTGCTGACCAGAAAACAACAAAAGTACACATTTATTGAATAAGAATTTAACCAATACTATATTGATTCACTACTAGATTTTTATCAAACAGAATCTGGATTTCACACAGCTATGTCTCTAGGTAATTATCATATTTAGTGCATACATGATGAGGGCTGTTTTACAGATAAGGTAATTGAGCTCTATACAGCTGTGGCTTCTGATTTAATTAGACCTCACTGAGCATTATTTAATTGGATYTGTTTTGATAGGAACAGTGCAACTTGCAGGATGATTAAATAAGATTACCTTTGTTTTTTGTTTATTTTGTTTTTCTTTGGCCATTYAGTGAATCATACACTATCTACATCGGATTTAATGAAAACTACTCTAATAAAATTAATTTTGCAATCTTCTTTTACTTCATTTTAGAGGATATCAAATAACTGTCATCCCTCCTTCGAGGCACAGAAGTTTAGAAACTCCTTTAAGATCCAAATCCAACAAATATCAAGAAATCTTCTCTTGGATTGCATTGTTGGAAAACTACATAACCAGTTACCACATGTACAGATTATATAKATTAGCATGGACTAAATTACCTCAATAAAAATACTATAGACATAATGACTGCACGTATTCTCAATTTTTAACTTAAGAGAATGATAAAAAATATTGTACATAGGCACAAAAATTCATCAGGTTGTCATACAATGGCCACTATTGATAGTTGGAGGGAACTCAAGAATGTAGTGGCACAAACATTACACAATACTAAAATATCAAGAGATGAAACATCATTTCCATATTTTTTGTGAACCGTAAAATACTGTAACAATCAACAAAAAATGTACCAAATATCTTATACATAGAAGTCCATCATYGTAACACTCTAGTATTAAACAATACAGTAAGCTTATAATAAAATGTGATAAATAGCTATCATAATAGTATATATATTCACCATAGAGTCTAGCTATCATAGTATTAGTACTACTTAGTAGATAGATTATCTAAACTCAATTTTTTATAACAAAGTAAAGAAGATGGAAACGTTTTCCCTTTCTTATGTTTTGTTTAAGTTTCTGCATATAAAYGGAATCATAAGAAAGGGAAAACACTTCCATCTTCTTTACTAATTGTTATGCTGAAAATTCATGTTGATCATTTAACAAATAAATAAGKCTCAGCAGTGGTTTATACTCTCATAAACCACACTTTTTTGGCCAATCAGAGCGCGCGTTAGAAATCATCTATATAATAAATTCTCTTGACCACCAACGTCAAGCAGAACGTCAAGTGTCTGCCATGCAATAACTCCTGCTTCTTGTGCTTCTTCTTATAACTGTGAACCCGCCCAAAGGGAATGAGACTTAAGTTTCATGTTCTGCTTATGTTTTCACCGTTTCACACGAACAAAAAATCCCCTTTGCGCCTTCTGCTAATATTYAACTTAAGATTGTACGATTTAATAATATGTCGTAGTAGGATCCCAACCTAATACAAGTTTACYATTATTAGCTTGAAATAAATATTGAGACTCTGAGATGACTAAAACCAAAAAGAAACATTTTCAATTCACTTTTTAGATGAACGTTTTAGATATCCGTACGCAAAATTGGAAGAGGCCGTCAAAATATCTGCAAACACTTTTCCTATAAGAAATATAAGCTTAAGTTATAAGCTTAAGCTTACCCTTCGTCGAAAGCTTCCAAACAAAGGTCTTTTCTTAGATTTCTTCAGAGCTTCAAAGAGTCTTCGTTGCTCAGGCTTAGACATTCCTAAATCATCTAAGTCTTGATCGGTGACATGGGCGAAATGAGTCAAACGTGTCACATGAAGTTTATCCACGATTCGCTGATAGAACTGGTCTAGCTGTATGCCATGAAGAAATTCATGGACTCTTTGAGCCTCTGTGTTATTAGCCATGGTAGATAATTGTCCTGTTACTTACAGTTAATCATGCTTTGCATCTTCGGTCTTGAAAGACACTCCATATTTGACCGGCAGTCGATGTTTTCGCTTGTTGATTAGGTATTGTATGAGATCACACATCACCGTTCTACATACACGTCATAGTGCTAAGAAGTGATCTAGTTTCTAGTTTGTAATTTAAACATCTCAAAAAATTGTTTCACGCCCTATAATATCATCTTTATAGCCTGATTATTATGATTTTTGTCTTAAAATATATCCTCATTTTTGATCATTTGAATAAAGTAACAAGAAAATGGAATCATAAATAAGAAAAAAATGAAAACCATTGATAATCAATTCTCCCAACTCAGCAACCGGAAGTTGTGGCTGTACGAATCCGTCATCACTCTGTCGCACGTCGCACGGAATCACGTTGATTCACATCCCGATCTCAGTGGTTGGATGAGAATGAAAACGTCAAGTCATTCATTTAATAACAGAGATATTGGTATAGGGTATAAGAATAATTTTTTTTGTATTTATTATTATTAATGCGTCTGTTATGTCTCGGGATTCCTGTGTCATTAGTCCCGCAAGGGCTTCTTGGGATAAACTATCGTTGTCATGTCTTGACTCTTGTTATGCTCAATAAAAGAGAGAAATTTACAGTATAGTTTCGTACGAATTACATTGAGCATAACAAGAGTCAAAACATGACAACGATAGTTTTTCCCAAGAAGCCCTTGCGGGCCTAATGACASAGGAATCCCGAGCCGTAACACGTCATTCACGCCATTCACGCTCCTGGAGCGTGAAGTCGGGCTAGCTATTTTGATGTCAGTGCTCCAGTTGTCTGTAACGYAGACTCAGTTTTCGAAAAAATTGGAAAATATTGATATTGTAGTTAATCTCAAAAGCGAAAAAACAAACAAATATCAACATGCAAGGAAATACAGCAAGAAAAACCTCCAAAAAATGTACAGTTAATCAAGATTACTAGGCATTTACTAGGCAAATCAAGCAAAAATGAAAAGAAACATATTTTGTCTGTGGAAAAATCGAAACTAATTAGTGTTTTTACGATTTTAGCGATTTGTTTTGATGAAGAAAGGGAGATACATATCCCATGATACATTGCAAAACCATTCAAAATGGCGGGCTTGTGATCCGAGCTTTAATCGTTGGGTAGCCTATGGCCTATGTACGCTAAAACATACACAKCAGGGTTTCAAAATGTTATGAAAACAACAACAAAAAACCCTCCACAAAACTAGCCTCCTTCACAGGCAACTCTACTTGTGGGATTCCTGCGTTAAGTCAAAAAATGCTGCCGGAGGGRGAGAGGGTTACGAAGAAAGGAAAAGCGTAGGAAAAGCAGGATTTGTTCCTAACCTCTCGACGCCAGTTCTTCTCGGTCAAGATTATGAACACAGGAAGACCGTTGGATTAGAGTAGCCTGCGAAGGAGGCTACCAACAAACAAAGACGAGCGTCATCACATTTTGACTCTGTGGTTTATATTACATCAACGCTATAAAGCGCTACTCTATTGGTAGTCTTTTTACAAGTACCGTACAATTACAATGGTGGCACTAATAAGGAATGAAAAACAAAATAATYCCAGTGACAGACTTGTATTAGTTTGGATATTGACAGGGTTTGGGGATATTACTATTTGCTTAATGGTTGGTGTATTTGAGCTGTGTTCTGGCTTCAATGAAGTCATTGCTTTTCTCATATCGATTACTATTTCATTATCCTTTCTTTCACCCCAACTGTCTTTATATTTTCCTTGACAAACATATACAAGTGAACAAATGTCACGTTCTGCACATCGATCCGCGATCTCACTTGTATAATTAACTTGTAAGTAGCTGATGAGTTTTCCTCTACTGTAGATTTGCCCACGTGATCTCTTAGTGATGTCACTTCCGTTGAAAAACCACTTCAGTTGCATGAAGTGTGCTGCGTACGATACACACTGAATGGTGACGTAAGACGATGACATAGGTAAAAGCTGACCAATCACGTTGTAAACTGTGATAACGGGAGGTGGAGCRTTGGCATTACCATAAAGATCCATTCGCAAACAAATAATTCCATGCCACCTTGTGGGTACAAGACGAATGTAACGAGCCCCTATTGACGGATTAAACCATTCTACGTGAATATTATTGCTATCATGGTTACCGTTCAATGCATCAATGATTCTCCAGTAGTCGCTAGTGAACGAGTATTGGAGGTCATATCTTTGAATGTAATAACCGCTGGCAGAATCCCCTTGTGTTGCTATGCCAGCCACTTGCATAGGTGAACGCAAATCAACTTGGAAATAAGGATTGTGGAATTGTTTAGTACACCAACTTGAAAGACCATACAATCGAGCTTGTCTTCCTGCATGCKCGGAGTCCAATATCTCTGATACGGATATTTGTTTATCTGATATATATCGGACTCCCTGCCGTTGTTCTATCCCTAAAGACCCGTGCAATGACTGCCGTGATCCATAGATTTCTATTTTCATTGATTTTTTATTTAAGWATGTCAAAGGGTAAAACCGTACAAACCTGGCAGACACGGGATTGGCCAGCACGTTCCTGGTAATATTACCATATTGACGCAGCACTAATCTATTAGATATGCTTTTGTAAAATGTCCATAGGAGCCCATTCATCGAGAATTCTATGTTGTAAAACAATACCTTTTCCCTTTGACATCCCTGCGAAGCTACAGCGCAAATTGTCCATGGGTCGCCTAGGTCAACTTGCAGGTAATCTGACTTGTAGTTTGTTTTAGGCGACCAGCAAGACGGGCCAAATAACCTACCATGTGCAGGGCCACGAGCCTGCTCTGCCTGGGAGCTTGCTGTAAAGCGGTAATAAGCCAGTTGTCCTGTAGAACTAGCACCAGCGATCGATTTTGAACAGGTATCAACACTAACACCATATAACTTCACTTTCATGCATCTCAGTCTAGAGGAACGGATCGAGATCCTCAAATACCTTGCGGTGATACGAGTATGTAAAACTTTYTTGTGTACTAAATTGTCCTGCGAGAATAATGATTTCATTTTAGTTTGTTCGCTATCTTGCATTTTTTCAGTCCATGTTTTTCCGTCCACCGAAGTTTGAAGTGTGTAAGCGACCTCGCTCCAGTAATCACTGCCGGTACTTGATATCGATAATGCACATAACAAATATGGAATCCCTACATCCACTTGTTGATTGTCTATGTTATCGCTGAAACAAAATATATCCCGCTCCAGACTTGAATTGTTAGCATTACCATCAGGCAGTGAGATGCCTGTAACGATTTCTCTATTAAAATGTTCTATTGGTTGACTTTCGCATGGACTTCCACAGCCATATATCTCTAGACGTAAGGCGATTCGTTGATGCCATGTCTTGGGTGTAATTCTAACGTATCTGATGTGATGTTTGACATGAAACCAATGAACCACAATTCTTGTATTGTCCACATTTCCTGTAAACGACTCCTCATCTTCACCTGATGTATACTCATACCACTCCTCACTTACTGATTTGAACTCCAGGATGAAAGACTTCACCCACATAGACAAATGGGGGTCTCCCTGCGTTGCAACACCTGTTACAAACTTCATTTCACCGAGGTCAACATGCATGTGTTTCTCGTTGTTTGACGGTGTCCAAGACGACAAACCGTGTAGTCGACCTTGATGGTTTGTCGAGATTTGGTTTTCATCAATACCATAGTTTTCAAGTCCCAAAGGTAGTTTGCAATTGTCGATGTAGAGTCCATACAACTCCATCCTAATCGCCTTCCAGCCTTTGTAGGAAACAGGGTACAAACGAACAAACCTCGCGATAGGTTTAGCCATCAAGATGTTTTTTCGTGGAGTATTTTTGTCGGTATTGCCGTTAAAAACCTTGACTTTTCCATTTTCTTTATATCTGATCCAGTTTTTGTTATCGATCGAGTAGCTTACAAAATATTTTCTGGTCCATTGAGAATCTCTACCGCCTTTTGTTGAAATTGCACATATTTTATAATCAAGCCCAAGATCGACTTGAAGATAATCATTGCTATCATCGGTATGTCGAGGTTTCCATGATGTTTTTGAGTCTAGTCGCGATGAAAATGGCAGCGAAGCCTTGTCGTACGATGAAGTCGCTGTGAAATAATGGTCAGGGATTTGCTCCTTATGTGTTAAACCTATTGCAAAATCAGTACACTCCCTGCAATACACATTTTGAATAAGGAGAAAAAGAAGTGCGAAACAAGCCTTAAGTGGGCTCATTGAGCTTCGTGACGTCAACAATTAGTGCGCGCATAACATGACGATGGACCTCCCCTGGATACTCCCCACAAATGTGAGCGCCGCGCGCATGAAACCTAGGTCAGGGTCAAATAGAATGTAAACAAACTCAATAGCTAGTTGAAAAGTACTTTATTAGTCGGTCTAGCCATAGGCTAGGTCGACTTGAGTTTTACCTTTTTTCCTATCTATGTATTATGTCGCGTTTGGACCACCGGAAGTTATGAATTCGAGACGTCGAAACCGGAAATATTTARTAATAATATCATGATCACCTCGGATTCTCTTGTCTTCTTCTTGACGAATTTCAATGTTTGATTAATAGTTGATAAGCTTCTTGGCATTATATTTGCAAATATAAAACAACTTTTCGGGCTTGAAGGTTCGTTAACTTCAGCATTGAATAGAACTGAAAAGCAATTGTTTAAAAGTTCGTTGTGGGAAATCAGTAACAATAGTCGCATTACCAATATCATTTTGTACTGACACAATTATAAAGTACTTGATACTCTTAGAACAGTGCGTATCCATTCTTTTCATGTCACATTCCAATTCATGCATGAATTGTTTGTTGCAATGTTTACATTACTWCTGATTATAGATAGTGCTATTTAGTTGTATTTAGTAAATCGTGCATGCGGTACGCAAATTACATGGAATTGATACAAATGAAGCATTCAAGCCGTCCTGCTTCAGGTCCACTTTAAGGTACWGGGGACAGTTGTTTTTAGTACCGACCATCAATACGTTTGAGCTTCCGGTCATGTAATAACACAGCCAACCCAATAGTTAATCATTAAATTCTTAACTTCCGGTGGTCCAAACGCGACATGATACACAGATAGATTGGCTAAAAGGTAATTTTAAAGTCGGACCTCGCCTTCGGCTAGTCCGACTAATTATCAAAAATGTTAATTTTGTGTTTGCTATTTCGCCAGATGATTGTACATTATGCCGAAAGCCTTTGTTGACATTCTTCATTGTTTTATAAAACAATAGTGGGATTAAGGGATTTGTCATGCATCACGATCTTTGTCACGCAGTCTGTTCTAACTGAATAATGGACTAGAGGAAACTTTTATTTGTCGAGTTGTTTTAATGACTTTTTTGGCAATTCCATCGTCTATGCTCAATATCTGTTCAAATATATTTCGTACCTATCGTCACGTCACGCTTTGACACAATGATAATATAATTCAGTATGAGTGCTGCATGTTAGATAGGTTATTAGTCGGGCTAGCCATAGGCTAGGCCGACTTTAGTTTTACCTTTTTGTCAATCTATGTGTCATGTMGCGTTTGGGACACCGGAAKTTYAATCCGCAACCTTCCTATCATGTGATATTCTTTCTAACCGGAAATCAGACAACTCCAACTGGGATCCCTGTGTCATTGCGTCACACATGACGTCATGACATTTATTAAATTAGCATACGTCATGTAAGTCTACCTCCGAGTCTGCGGCGTATCATCGTATATTACTACTTTTTGCTTGACTTATATACTAATAAATTTGCTTGTTAAGAACCATGTGGGACGACGTGTGCTTTATGTAACTGAATAAAACATAAGCGCATGCTCAGAATACTAAATGTCCCATCCAATCACACAGTTTTGCAGTTACCAGGGCAAAGGTAGCCCWGTCAAATATACCATAATAATCAGCCAATCAAGTGCATACCTACAAAGTAACCTGGCAACTAAAATTACCCATAATTTCCTGGTTGGATAGCACAGGAATACCAAGGTCACATGGTCAATCATATTATCCATAATGCTTTACTTTACTTGTCTCATGGTGCTGTACGTGTGCTGCAGTACGTTTGCTCGACGTTTCTTCCTTCTTCCTTGGAGAGTTTTTGCAATTAATGTAAGATGTCAAAAAAGTACATACTGAGACGCTCAACGRCAGCTCAACCATCTTACAAATGCAAAAGATGTAAAAGATGTCAATGAGCGTCAGTTTCGAATCGAGTCGTTCCGTGAACCCAAAGAATTCTTTGACAAGACGAAGGATCAGACCTCTACAATCAGCTCTAGACTCACAGTGATAAGTTTATTTGTTCTAATAGCTATATTTTACGTATCAATAGATAGTTTTGTCTATTATATTTCCCCATTTACTGTGTTATTCATCGCAGTCTTGTTTTGTAAAATACGGTATGCTTCTTGACCTGAGAGGTCATTTTTTAATTAAAAACGTGAAACCTTACACCAAGATATCTGATAATCAAATGCATTGCGCCATTTCGTCTAGAATATGATTTTTAAGAGCATTCAAAGCATTTATTTTGAATTTATTTGAAAAAGTTGCATTTGGAAATTCCCCTAATTAGTATAAGCTGGTCCATGTAAAAAAACGGGATAAGTAAATAGGGTTCTTTCCTTTAAACATTRCATCAAAAATTGTTAAATTATAAAGTGTTGTTTATATGACCTTTTTCTCACGAAATTTGCATATTTTGAATGAGCTACACGCTTTTACATCTATTTTTGAAAATTGAGAAAGACAGAATATCACTCCTGGATCGATATTTCTAGTGTTTTGATGTCGTTGCGACAAGCCACCAGAAAAGAATATCGCGGTGCGTGAATAAACAAACTAGATAAGGTATTCTACGCCATAAATTACTTTCATATAATTATATGACTGTCAGAATATTACATGTTTTTTTAGATACGAATTTTATCTTATCGTGTTGAACTCTTTCGCTCTTCACGTATTCGCAAATCCAAGTAATTTCTCAATTTTCCAAAATAGCTAGCCCGACTTCACGCTCCAAGAGCGTCTAGTTCATGTTTATACTGCGTTTATACAACGGTGTCTTTTTTTAGTCGGACTAGCCGAAGGCGGTCCGACTTTAAATTTACCTTTTAGTCTATCTATCTATGTATCATGTCGCGTTTGGACCACCGAAAGTTAAGAATTTAATAATTAACTATTGGGTTGGCTGTGTTATTACATGACCGGAAGCTCAAACNTCATTTGTTTCAGGAGGTTTTTCTGTGTTGTTGTTGTTGTTGCTCATACCGATCGCACACTTTGTTTCTCATTTTTCCTCCGTATATTCACTCTCTTTGGATTATTTTATTTTCTTTACTTCGAACATGGAAACAAGATCCAAGAGGAACGTCGCGTCAAACCGTGATTCCGAGGATAACGAAATGGACGAACTGGCTAAAGCTGTAGAGACGTTACGTCGTTCCGGGATGTTTAAAGTTGAACCAAGGGTGGACGGTGAAGACGTTTTATTTGAAACTCAGGGTCGTTTAGCTTCTCCGGGACGAGGGATATTTCGAGGAATACAGCGATTTGACTGTGAAAATGATGTGTTGGACACGCAGGGTCGTTTGGCTTCTCCGGGACAAGGGGTATTTCGAGGAATACAGAGATTTCCCCGCGATCCTATGCCTCCTGGACACCTACGATTTTCTGAAGGAGCTCCGCGGACATCTACACCTGGTGCACCGGGACGCTCGCGATTTCTTGACGCACAAGTTTTTCCGCAACCGCCAAGACTATCTACGTTTTCTGGCTTGGCGCGCGATGTGGCTTTCGATGTTTGGTTGTTCGAAGTTAAATGCCTAATAAAGGATGGGTTATATCCAAAAGATCTTATCGCCCAAACCGTACGTCGCTCACTCAAGGGTGAAGCTGGACGATTAGCCATGCATTTGGGCGAGGAAGCTTCGGCGGAGGACATCATACAAAAGTTGGAAAGAGTGTATGGCGTKGTGGAAAGCGGAGCGACAGTGCTGCAGCGTTTTTACAACAGTCGACAAGAAGATAACGAAGATGTAGCAGTTTTTGGCTGTCGWCTAGAAGATACTCTCAGTACYGCTATTGATCGTGGCGTGGTATCTAAGCGGCAAGCCGATGAAATGCTGATGAATAAATTTTGGACGGGATTGAAGGAGGAACGGGTCAAAAACATTGTTAGACATCGTGTCGATCTTATGAGAGATTTTGATTCACTTCTAGCCGAGGTACGTGCTGCTGAGCAGGAAGTCCGCGAGACTGATAAGTTGTGGGGTAAATCGAGGCGAACWCAGGCCGTAYACTTGCMGTTACAGGACCGAGCAGAGGCCAACTACACACCGGTGGTCAATTCTAAAGAAATGGCATCCATGCAAGCGACTATTCAAGAAGTGATGAAAAAGGTTACCGCATTAGAGGCACGTATGAATCAGCAGCCGAAAATTAATGGAAAATTAGAGGAAATTTTAGCCAGACTGGATCAGCTAGAAATTGAGAGAGAAAAGAAGAGTGCCAATGGAAATTCGTCTTCAAATGATGGAAACARACAACCTTCTGAGCGTCAGTTAAACTACAGGGGACCTGCGCCGAGGGGCAGGCGATAGGTCTTCCCTCCAGCCCCAATACATCAAAGTCACCAGTTCACGACATAGTTGGCGAGGTTAATGAGAGTGCTGTACTTTTAGATGGAACACCTTGTAAAGCTCTGATAGACACTGGTTCACAAGTTACTACTTTAAGCGAAACATTTTGGAAACATAACCTCTCTGATTGTCCTATTCAACCTTTATCCTCCATAATTGAAGTGGAAGGTGCTGGTGGTCACAAGATACCGTTTCTTGGATTCATAGAGGTTGTTGTATCTTTTCCACAAGAGACAAATGGAGTCATTGAAGACTTAGACACACTGGTGTTGATTGTAGCAGATACGGAATTCAACTTGAAAACACCCCTTCTGATAGGAACAAATCTCATTAGACGATGTAAAGATGACTGTGTTGACAAACACGTCCCATGCTATCTTCAAGAAATCAAGGCTGACGGAGCATGGAGTCTAGCTTACAAGTGCCTTGGTAATAGGGAGCGCGTCATGAGARAGTATTCACCCGATGTSARGGTGCGTAACGTAGATAATGGAAAGCCCCTGGTAGTCCAGAACCAAAGTTCAACGGTATTGTTGGCAACAGTTAAAACAAGAAAAGTTGGTGGTAGGTTGACGGCATTGGTAGACGAAACGGAATCTCAATTGCCCAAACCGCTTAAAGTTATACCATCTCTAACCGAAATT